CGACGCGGGGCTTGAACTCACGGACCACGAGATCATGACCTGAGCCGAAGTCGGACACTTAACCTACTGAGCCACCCAGGCGCCCCCCCAAAAAATTTTTTTAAATAAATAAAGTTAAATTTAGTCTGGGATTGTTGAGGTCAAAGGTCGCATCCTGCGAATTGCCATCTGCCACAAGGTTGGGAAACCTGAGCGCAAGGAACCCAAGCATCTGCCCAAGGCTGGGCGAGCTGAATAGGTTTCTGGTCAGATGAGGCAATTACACCTTCAACAGAGTTGTAACGAACAGGTTTGTGTCGCACCAACCAGTCGCCTCCGTCGTTCCCAGACCATTGGAAATTGAACCTTCCTGGCCGAGATGACAAAACAGCTGTGGTTGTAGGGACAATAACAGATGACGTGCATGTCCCCAAGGTAGTGCGCCCCTGAGGCCCTGTCCTCAAGGCCGGGGCAAGATCCTCACCTTCGACCAGTTGGCCCCGGACTCCCCCAAGGGCTGTGGCTGTGGCCCTGGAAAGGGCCAAGAGGTGTACAGGCATTTGGGCAAGGTCTCGCCAACCCAACACAGCCACACCAAACCCGAAGTGCATTCCAAGGGCGGAATGTGCCAGAGACGGAGGGGCCTGCCAGGGGATACAAAAACTAACCCCAGATCCCACGGACTTATTAAAGAAGATTTTGGTGGGGTGCCTGGGTGGCTCAGTCGGTTGAGCGTCCGACTTCAGCTCAGGTCATGATCTCGCGGTTCGTGAGTTCGAGCCCCACGTCGGGCTCTGGGCTGACGGCTCAGAGCCTGGAGCCTGCTTCCGATTCTGTGTCTCCCTCTCTCTCTGCCCCTCCCCCATTCATGCTCTGTCTCTCTCTCTCTCTGTCTCAAAAATAAATAAACGTTAAAAAAAAATAAAAGAAGATTTTGGCTGCTGAAAAAATTTAAAGTTAGAAACCGTAAACTGTAGAGAAACTGGCATTGGTGACATTAAACACCCTTTGCAGGCTTCCCCACCCTCCTGCTCAGTGGTGAGTCAGCATGGGTTATCTCATTATGTTACAAGGAAAAGAACAGAAGAGTCACCCTGGTCAAGAACAGTTAGGAAGACAGCAGTGCATTTAAGTGGAAAAAAATCGTATTGTTTTCTTAAATATGTAATATTACAGGTGCTAAACATTTTGAATACATGATCTTGTTAATTCTCAGAACCACTCCTAAGGTAGATGTACTCCCATAAATTTACAGTAGAGAAGCCATTCACTCAGAAACACACACCTAGTGAATGCTCATCAGAACTGGCCCTGAAACAAACACGGATTCTTTTATGTTTTTAAAACGAGCAAGATGGGGGCTCCTGGGCGGCTCAGTTGGTTGAGCTCCTGAATCTTGGTTTCCACTCAGGTCATGATCTCAATGGTTGGTGAGATCTGCCCCTGGTGGCACTAACATCGTGAAGCCTGCTTGGGATTCTCTCTCCCTCTCTCTCTGTTCTTCGCCTGTGTGCGCATGCTCTCTCTCTCCAAAGAAATAAGCAAACCTTAAGAAAAGAAAATGAACAAGAATATATAAGTATATATTATTATACCTAGAACCATGTTGATTTGAGTGTAGATGCCCCATGCATAGATGATATATATATTTTTTTAATGTTCATTTTTGAGAGGGGGAGAGAGAGAGAGAGACCGTGTGAGCGGGGGAGGGGCAGAGAGAGAGGGAGACAGAGAATCTAAAGCAGGCTCTAGGCTCTGAGCTGTCCGCACAGAGCCCGATGCGGGGCTTGAACCCACAAACCGTGAATGAGATCATGACCTAAACTGAAGCCAGACGCTCAAACGACTGAGCCACCTAGGTGCTCCATGATATATTTTTCAGTGGCTGTGTGGCAAGAGAGAAATTATTCCTGCCCCCTGTCATCAGAACCTATTATGATTCTAAGGAATTGTACTTACAAATTCAAGTCATAATTTATTTTATGAAATATTGTACTTTACCACTTATTACCCTGTGCCAGATCTTTCCATCCCCGTTTCTGTGAGATACTGGCAACAGAAGAACATAGTTTAACATTATCAAGTTATAGATTACCTTCCAGCAAACTAGTTTCTCTGAAAAACCAGTTCAGGAGCTGCCATTCCTGATTTTATGTGAACATTTTTGAAGCAATTTTTGTTTTCAACACGTGTTGATTTTGAGGTCAACATTACCCATTTTCATAAGCTTCTTTGTATTAGTAGTACTTTTTGGGGGGGCACTTGGCTGGCTCAGTCCCTGGAGTTTACAACTCTTGATCTCGGGGTTGTGAGGTTGAGCCCCGTGTTGGGCGTAGAGATTTCTTAAATACACAAAATCTAACAAACAAACAAACAAAACAAAACAAAACCCAAAACTTTCTCTTCCTCCCAAACTTTCAGCAGTTTTCAGGAATGAATGGATAGATAGATAGATAGATAGATAGATAGATAGATGTAATTTTATACAAATGGAAGAAGTGTTTTTCTGTGCAGTCCTCATTATTCTTCATTGTAACTCCTTGTGCTTGACCTTTAGGAACAGAACACCATATTAGGAAATAGTATTTAATGACACAGTTGATATCTCAATGCCCATCAATCCCTTAAGTATCATCCTTGTTATTTTCCATTAAACAGTTCCTTATATTTGCTCAAAGCTCATCTGTTCCTTATTTTTTTTGGGGGGGCGGGTTAGGAGAGGAGGTGAATCTCATACAAATTTAGGAGATCATCCTGAACTCAATCCTCATGGCTTATTATGTAAATTTAATAATGCACCCCATAAAGCTACATAGTACAAATATATGACGAGGTAATCCCACAGAAGAATGGAAAAGGGAGAGGAAAGAAAAATACCAGAGATAGAGACCAAAAATGCAGGACCCCTGGCTTAGGAAAAAACCAGAACCTTGCTGAAAGTGATCGGACAAATTGAAAGGACAAAAAAAAAAAAAAAAGCCTGTATCAACTATTTAAAAAAGAAATTGAGGGTTTGAGGTGAAGTGAAGCTTATTTTGTCAACAGGAAGTTACGGTTCTGCACCTCTATTTATATAAACAGCATTTGCTTTTTCCATCTCAGGTTCTGCCCAGAAGTTGTCGTCTGACTGCTGCTTCTGGCTCTGCTTGACTGGTTTTTAGAGAGAAAAAAGAAAAAGAAAAAGAAAGAAAAAAACTGTAGCCACACGTTCCTTTCTCTACCGCAGAGAACCTCAACAAGTCACTTTCCCTGATGTTTGGTTAGTGAAAATGCTAAATGATACAGGATTGTGATTTTGATTGGAGTTCTGTGTTTTTAACCAAATCTTTGCCTCCAGGAGGGGACAAATCCGTAAGGACAGTCCTGCCTCCCTTCCACCGTGCCCCTGATGTCTTTCCATTCTACCCTGTGAAAGTTCCAGGTCTCTCAGAACCTCTTCGCTGAACTCCCTTTTCCCATCAGATCTGTGAATTCCTGTCTTCAAGCATCGTGGTCCCCTGTCTTGATGTCAACCTGCCATTACGCTCCCATCCTCTGACTCCCCTTGTCTGATGCTTTTCTATCTTCTTTTCTGTTGCTTCTCAGAATTCTTTCTTACGGTTGCTTCGGGACAGAAGGAAGGAGAATGTTAGAGGTTGCAAGTTGTTTGCGCCTCGGACCGGGTGTCACATATCTGGTTACACACAAACACCCCGAAGCAGAGGAGGGAGGAGCTTGTGGCTAGCAACATATACGACTTGATGTCATCAAAAGTAAGGCTCAGAAGTGGGGAGACCAGCTGGGGTTCGCACCATCTGCCTGTGAGTCAAAAGAATACTCAGAGAAAGTGTGCATGGAACTATATTTAGAGTACAGTGCACACTTGAATTTTTCCCATTCAAGGAGAAAGGAGAATTTTCATAAGCATGTTTTATAGAAAAAGTTAGGCTCAGAGCCAGACCAACTCAATCTGGGCAGAGAAAACAAGAGTAGACTTCATGGATAGGCAGATGACACTGCCATCTTTCAAGGTGCCAGGAAGGCATACAATCTCAAAAATTGCCTGGAGATACTTTCACAAAATCCTTTAGTTCCGACATTAAAGTTGCACTGTTTTGTTTCAAAGAATCATTTTTAGTCTAACTATAAGTTCCTGGCTATAAAATATGGTCATTTGTGCTCACCAGGAAAGGGATAATATTAATGCCTAAAAGAGAACAAGGCTTGCAAATCCTTTCATGGAAGTGACCAGAGACGAAAACTAGAGCATCAGGAACCTGAAATGGGGGGCAAGGGTGAAAAACAACAAAAAGGAGGTGAATGAAATTCTGCCAGGGGGCAAGGGTACACGGGGAAAGAACAGGACCAAAACAACATCCTGAAACTGACCTGGGACTGTCCTTAGGGGGAAGTTGTGGAGGAAAGACAGAATGGGAAGCAAGTTAGAAATGTTGGTGGCACCTGGGTGGCTCAGTCAGTTAGGCATCTGACATCGGCTCAGGTGGTGATCTCGAGGTTCGTGGGTTTGAGCCCTGCATCGGACTTTGTGCTGACAGCTCAGAGCCTGGAGCCTGGTTCAGATTCTGTGTCTCCCTCTCTCTGCGCCCCCCCCCCCACCCCGTTCACACTCTGTCTCTGTCTCTCAAAAATAAACATTACAGAAAAAAAGAAGTGTTGGTTTATATGTCAAGAGTGAAAAAAAAAAGGTCAATCACATAAGAACAATGAGAAATGGAAAACACTGGCACATGATCAAGCAAAAGAGAAGGGAGTGAAGCATGAAGCTTTACCTAGCAAGACTGTTGGTAGGTAAAGATTGTCACACGGAGCAGGAAAGAAAAGGAACTTTCTGGTGAATTGAGGAGTTTTCCGGAGGAGAGTAAATTGGAGTGTTGGAAGAACCAATGGCAAAATTGTAGGAAGGGTACAATAGAGAATAGTGGAGAGCGATACTGGCACTCCCTTTTCCCAAGGGGGATGAAAACATCAGTTGGGGTCTTTCTAAACATAGAAGAGAAAAAGAAACAGATCAGAGACTGCTCTTTTCTGAGGAGGAAATTAGAAACATTTATTTTAGAGTGTTTAATTTGCAATATACACAATCCTGGGATTGAGGTGCTCCGTTGGAGGGTCACGTGCGTGGAGAGATTCTTAAACGATTCTTGGAAACTCAGCCTGTGAGTTTTCTCTACAGTGGTTACAAAATGCATTCAACATGTCTGTCTATATATGAGCAAATTTACTTTTAGAGGCTGTGGAGGAGAGATTACATGCTTTGGTCTTTTCCTAGCATTTCTCTTCAATCAGCTGAGCAAATCCCACTAGGCTAAATTGTTTCTCAACCTCCAGAGTTTGATCCTCATTTACAGTTTTCTTACAATATGAAAAGGATCCAACACTACCAAGTGGAATTCTGTGGTGTATAACAACTTGCCTCAAATTCCTCTATTTCCTACTTGAATTTCATTGGCCTTTGTGGAAAGTTGCTAAGTTCTTCAGGTAGAAGGAGCTACAATCTGTAATTGGTCACTTACAATGGGATTTTTTTCTATTACGTTGTGGACTGCTTCCTAATATAGGATATCTCTCCCCTCACAAAGCAGACATGGTGGTTGTGAATCAGATTGCATCTAGGCTTCCAGAAATATGAATAATGCATTTAAATCTTAAATCACAGAATTAAAAAACCTTAGAACTCACATAAACTTAACCTTGTCGTGGTAAAGATGGGGACTTTTACCAGGGCCTACTGTGGCAGCATGTCTTAAGAATGTAGGTTGTCTGAATATTATTTCTTTTATTCTTTCTTATAAACCACTAGGTAAACTTTGTCTGCCCATTAAAGATGAGGTCTGAATGTCTTTCTTAAGGCCCCAATCAGGCTTTTCCAGAATCCATTTGCACAATATTCTCTACAGATTTCGTTTAGTAATGGGGTGAAAGGAGTAGCCAAGGAAATTCACACCAACATTAAGTTGTCTAATTAATTTGGGAAGGTGGGCTAACCCCTACCCCACACGACCATAAATGAGTAAGTAAATAGGACTTTTTAGCCCTACTTGCCCGTTTGGGACAACCGCGTGAAAAATTGAATAGGGAACCATGAGTCCAAGTTCCATACTTGGCCTACTCCTCTTTAGCCTCAGCCTTAGCAGATCTCATCTTGGGTCTTTAGACATTGCTGGTAGGATTGTCTAACTCTTGGCCTCAGAAATCTCTGGGACTACGCACATTACCATGACTCTTCCGGAAGACCCGGCAGGCAAATCCAGCAAAATAGTTAGCATAAGAGTAAAGAGGAACTTGTAAATGGGGAGTTCATCTAGGACATGCTTGAAAATCAAAGAAATGATGTCCTGTGGCCAAACTAGTGACAGCTTCTTCCACCCTAAGATCTATTTCAGACAGATTCAAATTGTAAATATTAACCTCACGTTTATTTTCCTTTGAAACCGTATGTAGACTGTTTGTACATAAGCCACTTGGTTATCATTGATCTACTACGTCTATGGTAGTGAGAAGCGGCAAAACCATGCTATAACATAGACTTTGTTACCGGTCTGGGTAATAAATCAGGGAGTGGGGGGTCAAAGCTAGACACTACAAAGGGATTGGTTTAAGAACTACTAATGTCTATGGGTTAGCTGACAATGGTTGCTCATGTTAGACCATTCTCTTCCTCCCACCCACATGTTCTTCCTTCCTCTTCCTTGATCATCACAGACCACTGGGTCTCTGCACGTTCACATTTTCACAGGGAGGAAGTCGGAAGTAGTTGGAGCGGCGGAGTCGCCTTGGGGGCAAACCGGCCATCTGACGGCAAAGTTCATCTAGAAGAGAAGCAGAGAGTAATGCCTAAAGGGCTGGCGTTTTGGGAGAAAGAGAAGACCCGGGGCTTCTGAGTGGCTCAGTTGGTTGGGTGTTCGACCCTCGATTTCAGCTCAGGCCGTGATCTCACGGTTCATGAGTTCGAGCCCTGCCTTGCCCTCTGCGCTCACAGCCCGGAGCCTACTAGGGATTCTCTCTCTCTCTCTCTCTCTCTCTCTCTGCCCCTTCCCTATACATTCTCTCTCTCTTTCTCTCTAAGTAAATAAACTTTTGAAAAAAGAGAGAAAGAGAAGACAGCAGTGTGCTGTCGTGAAAGGTTGAAGAGAAACAGATCTGGATTAGAACCCCCGATCTGCAGCTCACTGGTTATTTATTGCTTACTAGAAAGTTACTTAACTTTTCTGAACCTCACTATCCCTTGCAGTAAAAGAAGCATGAAATACCTGCCTCAACAGTGTAGTTGTATTAAAACCAAATAATGTATGCTAAGTACCTAGCACAGGTGGCTGGCCGGTGAATTTTAGGCTGCTCTACACGCCTAGCTCCCGATTCTTCTAATCATGGGCTTATTGAATAGCAAAAAAGTGACATTCAATTATTCACTAGCTATCTAAGTGTTTACTGTGTGCAAATGGCTAACTTTAGTAAGTCCCCTGAGACACTTGAAAGTGCCCAAGTCCCAAATACTCATCCTCAGTCTCAAGGTGCTTCCCTTGCAGGTGGCTTGCACAAGGCCAATGGGGGCAAATAACAAGTTTCCTTCTGCGAAGTTAACTACAGCTCTTACTCAGCAGCTCCGTGCAAGACGGGCTGTTGAGTCAGAAGGGGCTGTGTCTGTGGTGCCTTCACCAACCACACTTATCGTTTGGGGCCGGCCAGGGAGAAGGTGAGAGGTATCTTTGTTCCCACAATGCACGGTGTATAACCACACACGTTGGACCCTTTTAATTGTTTTTATCAGGTTTTTCTACCTTCCCCTACCCCTGAATTTTTGCATTAAGTAATGTAAGTAGTTCCTGGAATTGATAAACTGTTTCAAATGTAGCCAGCTTCTAAATGTCCTGTTTTGTATTTACTGATAGGCCCTGTCCAAACATCAATCGTCTCCAAATAGTGGAGGTTTTTTTTTTTTTTTTTTCCCCTTTTTTTCTTTTTTTTCATTTGTGAACATGGCTGCCGGTAGTAGAGTCTATTATTTGTGATGGCTGACTTGGCCTTTTTTTTCAAGTTTTTATTTATTGATTTTTAGTCATCTCTACACCCAACGTGGGGCTTGAATTCCCAGCCTGAGTCAGCCAGGTGCCCCCGATTCGGCCTTTTCACCTAGAACTCCAGTGAATGATCTCCAAAACAGTTCCAGCTTCAGAAAGCTCTCTCTATGGGAGAGGTTGGGAGTTAGAATCTTGCTGAAAAGAGATCCAAGATATCTTCCTTAGGGTTATCTTTATATACGAAGCACACTGCTTTACCTTGATTGCTTATCTAGCACAACGTGGGGCAGGCACTGATGGCAGTTCAGGGGGTGACCTAAAGCCCCTCCTCCGAAGCCAGACCTTGGATCCATCAGGATCACGTCTCTGTTTACCTCTCTCATCACTGCCCTCCCCACTAAAAAACCAGATATCATCTTACCTTTCATTACTTCATGTTCTTTACAGACAAGACGAGAGCAGATCTCATTGTTGATGATGTACATACGTCGTAAGCTGCCGGAGTCCCAGTAACATGGTTAAGGAAAGAGATAGCAAAAACCATCGGGAGGGAGAACTCTAGTCTGTATATGGGCCAGGGGTGCCTCGTCAGCTCCTGTACTCCCCACTCTCCCCTGTCTGTTTCCCTCCTCTCTCGATTTCTTTCCTTAAGTATTTTGGGCTGATTTTTCCCTCCCAGAGGAGGGAAGGGGACGGAATGGTATTAATTGCTCTTTTTTTTTTTTTTTTTAATTTTTTTTTTCAACGTTTATTTATTTTTGGGACAGAGAGAGACAGAGCATGAACGGGGGAGGGGCAGAGAGAGAGAGGGAGACACAGAATCGGAAACAGGCTCCAGGCTCTGAGCCATCAGCCCAGAGCCTGACGCGGGGCTCGAACTCACAGACCGTGAGATCGGGACCTGGCTGAAGTCGGACGCTTAACCGACTGCGCCACCCAGGCGCCCCGTGGTATTAATTGCTCTTAGTGCCACTTTGCACACTCCTCCTGGAGTCAAGCCTAATACTGCTCTTCACTATTTCTGACACTGAGAGCTGGATCCTTTGCTTCAGCCTTTTTCTGTGGGGTCATAGATTCACTGTACTAGTATTTCTCTCGTGACTGTCCTTTCTCCAGCCCTCACTTCCCTTGCCTTCTAACATCTAGTCGTAATAGTCAGGCTGTTTTCCGCGTAACCCAGGTCCGACTCCAGGTTCTATCTGGCACCGCCCTAAGAGGGTCATGTTCAAAATTTCTCTGCCACTAAAGACTGAAGTTCCACAGTGGGTGCTCATTGCGTAGTTACTGACATGAAACCACTACCAGGGAAGGCGATTTCTGCACATCCTGGGATCCCTTACCTAGTGAAACATAACTGGTGAATGCATTGCTTGACTGGCCGATGCACCGAGTAGAGTCTCGTGCAAGCAAATTTTTCATCCCGGCAATCTGAAGAAGTCCAATACAGAAAAACAGGGAGAGGCGTGAACAAAGGATTAAAGACATGGAGGAAGGTACAGAGAGCGGGGCGGGGGGGGGGGGGAACACAAAATAGTCTACACAGGATCATTGTAATGTGGGGAATGCCCTTCCTGTTCAACAAAGCAGAACAGTAGGAAACTGGCTGAAATAAAATTTAGGTGCTTTCCTACCTGGACCCAGAAGTAGCTAAAATAATCTCTGAGAGTTCTTCTAGGAAAGTCTTTCTAGGGTTATCCAGGCGGCAGTGTGAAATGCCAAACTGAAATGAAATGCTGCTGACTCCATTCTCGAGAATAAGAACTCTTAGGTGGGTCACGGTTTCTGTTGCAGTAGTTTTCAGTCCTAGCTGCCCATCAGAATCATCAGTACATTACAGAAAGCAACTTTGCCCATGACACCTACAGTCCTCTTGTCCTTGCAGTCAGTTCCCCACACACTAACCACCACAGAAAGTCCAAAGGTAGCTCAGGAAGAGGACTGCTTTGGGATCATCCAACAGTGGTCCCATCTTTTCTTCATGACCTCGAGGACAGGAGCTCATAAAGGAGAGCAGGAATGAAGGGCATTAAAAATACTCTTTGAGGAAGAATGGAAAGCAAACTAGAAGGTACAGCAAGTACCCGCCAAAGAACAAGGAGATAAGGAATCCCCAAGAAGAAAGCTGAAGAAAAAGACATGCAAAAGGCAATCATACCTGCTGTGGTATTTTTGTCATTGGCCGGAGCTGGAAGGCAGAAATTTCATTCAGTTACCATGAGTTCTAGAACTTACTACCTCTGTAACCTAGAATATCCTTTTCCCTTTGTAACCTTGGGGCCTCACTTGGGGCCCATATGGGGCACCCATTAATAAAAAAGTGAGGCACCCATGTTGCCTCACTTGGGGCCCATATGGGGCACCCATGAATAAAAAATGGGTTGATAATGCTTTTAGCAACTTCTAAAAGAAAGCCCATAATGGACTGCTTTGATCCACAAAACTGAACAGATTTAGAAGTTAGGGTGGGAAATCTGATCTTGCCTCTGTCCTCTCTCTTCTAGAATCGAAAAATTGATGGCATTTTGAGTAGCTTTGTGTTGTTGCTGAGAAGCAAATTTAGTATGGACAAAAGCCGTATGCCCAGAAGAGCTGCATCCTAGAGCGAAGGAGAGAAGAGATTGTTATCCTGTAGAAGCTCTTGCTCATCAAGGAAAATTTCTTCTCTGTAAATCAGATACATCGTCATGGGTTCTTAGATGAAAGTGTTATTCAGCAAAGAATAGTAAAAGTCACAGCCATAGCCAAACCCAACCTAGGGTCAAGTTAAACACGGGCTTAACTTGTAGAATGAATAATAAGTCAAGGAGGGAATCGTCTTGAAGGAATTCACTAACCATAGGAGTGATGTGTACAAATGCCATTGGAAGAGTTGTTTATAGTCAGGATACTATAGGAATATGCTGGGTGGTCTTATCTACCCCCTAGTTGCAATTGCGGGCTTCTCGGCTGAGAATTCTCCAGCTTCTGCTTCTAGCCCAGATCTCTTCTAAGCTCCAGACCTGGAAATCCATCTGCCACTTTAGGGAAGAGTTTGTGGGTATTTCCAAGATCCCCCAAATCCAGTACATCTTAAACTGTCTCATCTTTGAACCAATTCAAATTGTTCTTCAGCGAATGGTACCACCAGCTACCCAACAGAAAACTGGACATCATCTCCACAGTCCCCTCTCACTTACAGTTCACACTTAATTCTCACTACCTCTTCCTCAGTTCAGGCGATCATCTTTTTTTTTTTTTTTTTTTTTAATTTTTTTTTTCAACGTTTATTTATTTTTGGGACAGAGAGAGACAGAGCATGAACGGGCGAGGGGCAGAGAGAGAGAGGGAGACACAGAATCGGAAACAGGCTCCAGGCTCCGAGCCATCAGCCCAGAGCCTGACGCGGGGCTCGAACTCACGGACCGCGAGATCGTGACCTGGCTGAAGTCGGACGCTTAACCGACTGCGCCACCCAGGCGCTCCCAGGCGATCATCTTTTTACTGGGACTATTGCCATAGCATCTTGGCTGGGTTTCTAATTCATAAATCTGATTAGAAGCTTCCCTTGTATAAACTATTCTCTGATTGGTTTTTATTTCTATCCTAAGCCTTTGCGCATACTGTTTTCTTTACCCCAAGGCCCTTCTCCCTATTTACTTGATTCACTTCTACTTGTCTTTCAAGAACCAACTTAGTCATTGTGCCCTCCATGGAAGCCTTTCCTAACCGGGGGGACTCTTTTGTCGCATCTTGCATAGCTTCTTTTGCTTATCTTGATTATGGCATTTTGTGAAACCGAATGAAGTTAAAGTTAGCCATTTGTTGGGGCGCCTGGGTGGCTCAGTTGGTTAAGTGGCCAACTTCGGCTCAGGTCATGATCTCGCGGCCGGTGAGTTCGAGCCCCGCGTCGGGCTCTGGGCTGACCGCTCAGAGCCTGGAGCCTGTTTCCGATTCTGTGTCTCCCTCTCTCTCTGACCCTCCCCCGTTCATGCTCTGTCTCTGCCTCAAAAATAAATAAATGTTAAAAAAAAGAAAAATTAAAAAAAAAAAAGCCATTTGTTTATCTTATGTATTAGACAAAAAATATCTCGTAGGAGGATATCAGTGTCGTTCACCTTTGTGTTCCCGGTTTATATTCCTATAAACCTAGTAGCAGGTTCTCAGTAACCATTTCTTTAAGGTAATCTAGTTTCTGTCTCCTTTTCTTACATCCTACCACTTATTCCTTGTAGATTTTTGCCCTGATTATTCAAAAAGCTCAGTTTCTCCAATGTGCCAAGCCTTATTTTGCGTTCACATCTTTGTGCATACTGTCCCTTCTTTGACTGCCTGGCTGGCTCCAATTCTTTCAAGAATCAGTTCAACCATTACTTCTAGAAAGTTTCCTTTTATCTTCCCAAGCAGTGAGTTGTGTATATATTTATCTTGCCTTCACCCATCCAGTCTTGGAAACTTTGAGGGGAATATGGCACTTCGGTGTTTCGTACGTCAGACGCCTAGGACAGTCCCTCCCTGGACCTACTAGGGGATCAAAAATATCACTAATTCAAACTGAACTGTTGGAAGAATTTTCACAAACTGTAGTGGTAGCTATTTAGGAACCTTAACCAGCTGTACCGCCTTCCGTAATGGGCTCTGGGGAAAGCCCAGAAAGGCCCCAGTGGCCCTGGGATCCCAGATCTGAACTCACCCAGGTCATCTGTGGAAGGCTCGATATCGGCCAGAACTGAAAAGGCACAAAACAGCAGGTGTGAGGAGGGCTTTGAATTGGCAAGGGGGAAGTCAGAGTGGAAAAATGGACGTTATCACGGCAAAGTCAAGGCTACGGCTGGGTTTGTGTATTCTACCCAAGGGAATAGAGTTAACTGAAGTAACGGGGAATATTTTTTCGGAGAGTATGTGTCCTACTGGCAGTATCCTTTATTGCACGTGCCTTATGTTAGCTCTTAACCCACCTTGTTTCATCTTTTTCAGAAAACGAGCGGGACTCTTTCCTTTTATCCCACTTGTCACTGAACAAAACACCCACAATCCCTCTATCCCTTTCTCAGGGATGAAAATACAGGATTAATTCAAACGCTGGAATGAACGTTGTGAACATTAACAAGAATCATGCCATTTGAAAAGATCGGTAGTACAACTCACCTGTTTCATCTGTAGAGGGCTCATTCACCAGGTCTGCAAACGTATAACACAGAGAATAAAAAATGCAGGAAGCAAAAGTGGCAAAGAGGGAAGGGGAAGGAGGGTATAGGGACGGTCTTCAAGGAGGCAAGAAAAATCGCAGCGGAAGAGTGTGACCTCTTGGGCCAAGGTGAGGGACTCTCAGAGAAGGAAATGGGAGAGAAAAGATCGGACAGGTTCACAGCATCAGCGGTAGGCCTCTAGCCCCAGTGTGAAAGCACAGAAATAAAAAGCGTAGCTTACTAGGATCTTCTGTGAATGCTTCTGGAGTCACTGGAGTCACATCATCTGAGGAAAAAAAAAAAAAAAAAATCAGAAGACATTTTTTTGCAATTTATTTATTTTGAGAGAGAGAGACAGACCGAGAGCACGAGCGGGGTAGGGACAGAGAGGGAGAGAGAGAATCCCAAGCAAGATCTGGGCTGCCAGGGCAGAGCCCGAGGGAGGGCTCGAACTCACGATCTGCCAGATTATGGCCCGAGCCGAAATCAAGAGTCGGATGCTTGACTGACCAAGCCACCAGGGTGCCCCCCCAGAAAATATTTTTTGGGCGCTCTCCGTCCCCCTCCCCTTCTTGCACTCCCAGGAAGTGAAACTGTCCAGCACGGCTGCCCACACGTAGCGGGTATCCCACAGTTGATTTCCTTTGTTTGCTTCCCAAACCAAGTCCTTTCCCTGCAACCCAAACAAATGTCACGCTTTGCCACTTCCCTGAATATACCCACACAGTCCTAGCCTAGAATATCCTTTTCCCTTTGTGTGCCTTCCCCTCTGTGCCCGTCAGACAATCCTCCACTGGCACCCCCTTCCTTCATGATACGTGGGTTAAGCATAGGAAGAGAAGAATCACATCATTTCGTCGTCCTACCGGATAATAAGCATACTGCTAGCTTGGGTTTCCTGTGCGCCAAGCACCATTGAAATCTGTTTTTACAGATGATAAAATTGAGCGCCAGACAAAAAATTTACCCAAGGTCCTACAGCTTGTTTTAAGTACCATGGATTGATGGCCTCTTGGCGATGCTCTCGTTAAATGAAAATTGTCTTTACCAAAGACATTGAGTATGATAATTATAATTTTGACATAATTGGCTATCCGTTTGCTGAAACGCTTACATATAAGCGTGTTCCCAAAGGGTGATGTGGATGATTTTCTGATGCTCAGTGAGAAGTGAGGTGAAGGGGCGGGGAGGGGAAATGCCAATGATAGTAGAGAATGACCTTGCAGTTGAACATTGAAAGGTGAAGGCAGGAGAAGACATAATAATAAGCGGTCCCAGCCTTAAGGTGGAATCTATTAGGATAAACAAGCAAACTGTATCAAAACTACAAATAACAGCACTATCCCAAACCAGCTGTCTCTCTCTGCTTTAAAACACAGGGGCACCTGGCTGGCTCAGTCGGTTAAGTGTCAGATTCTGGATTTCAGCTCAGGTCATGGTCTCCTGGCTCGTGAGATGGATCCCCATACCTGGCTCTGTGTTAACGGAGCATGGAGATTGCTACTTGGGATTCTCTCTCTCCCTCGCTCTCTCTGTACCTCCCCTACCCGCATTTTCTCTCTCTCTCTCAAAATAAACAAACTTAAACAATATTTAGATGTCAACACAGCTTTGTTACTTTGCTTTTTCTTTTTTAAATGTTTACTTAGTTTGAAAGGAAGGGTGTGTGAGCAGAGGAGGGGCAGAGAGAGGGGGAGAAAGATAATCCCACGCAGGCTCTGCGCTGCCGAGCACAGAGCTCAAAAGGGGGCTCGAACTCACGAAACGTGAGATGTAGACCTGAGATGAAATCAAGAGTCAGACGCTTAATTGATGGAGCCACTCAGGCACCCCAGCATCTGAATATTCAGTAAGTATCCCATCTAGAAGTATCCTTCCTTATAGATGGCTTGTCATCACAATCCATTTTGCCCACCAGGGGTCACCAAATTCACATAGTTTCCTTTGACTTTTTTTCCTTAACCGTCAGTGTCTAAATGGCAGGTTAAATCTGGAAAGAATAGCATTTTCATAAAGCGTGCCAGAGCGATTGATCATTGTGGTAGAGGGCAAAGAAAAATAAAACACTTTGAAGCAATTTATTTTGAGAGAGAGAGCCCTAGTGGGGGGGGGGGGGAGGGGAGCAAGAGGTGAGAGAGAAAGAAAGAGACAATCTCAAGCAGGTTCCAAGCTCAACTCAGCACAGAGCCAGATGGAAACTCAATTCTATGAACCGTGAGATCATGACCTGAGCCAAAATCAAGAGTCCGACGCTCAACCGACTGAGCCACCCAGAACCCCACATCATCCTCTTAAAAAAATAAAAATAAAGTCATTAGATCCTACAGAAGGGGCTTTTTATCTCTAACACTGAACATTAGCTTTTCTTACTTCAGGACAAATTTTGGTAAAAGAAATCCAAGGCTGGGACGCGTGCGTCGCTCAGTCGGTTAAGCGTCCGACTTCCGCTCGGGTCATGATCTCACGGTTTGTGAGTTCGAGCCCCGGGTCAGTCTCTGTGCCGACGGCTCAGGGCCTGGAGCCTGCTTCAGATTCTGTGTCTCCCTCTTTCTCTGCCCCTCCCCTGCTCACGCTCTGTCTCTCTCCGTCTCTCAAAAATAAATAAATGTGAAAAAAAAAATCCAAGGCTGTTGCAATCCTCCAGGACATTTGAGAAACCACTAACCGGAGTCATTCCAAAAACCGTGAGGGACGTGGAGCCTCTCCAGGACACGGTGCCATCCCACCAGTTCCCTTCCTGTCCTACATTCCAGTCCAGCCACTCACAGAGATGGAAGCAAACCAGTGGGAGAGCGGAGGGGTTGGAAGTGTTTCCTTGCTGTCGCCTCCAAATTTCTGGATAGAGTACTGTTTGCCCGTGTATTCCTCAGATCACCCACCTTATCCGTGAGCAGCCAGTGTATAAATGTTTCTTTAGGGTTCATGCATGTTCTCTGAAAAGAAATCTTAAGCAGGCATTTTTAGCACATCTATTTCTGTTAAGGAAGCATCACAAACATCTGGAAAAGGACTGGACCGTAACGGGCCCAGAAAAATGAATTCAGAACTCTGATGTGGGTTCAGAAACTGAGGAATGCAGACGTCTTTACCCACAGCAGTGAAAAAAAAAATGCCATGTTTCCACATTTTTATCTACTGTACCAGGATGCCCAGGAAGAAATTGTATTGTGCCCCAGTGTATGCATAGAAAATTGAAACCAGATGTATATGATGCCGCTTTACTCTTGCAATGTACTTGCAAAGTACTCCTTTTTTGTTTTAGTTTATGCTAATTTATCAAAAAAAAAAAAGGCCAGTTGTGATCTGCTAATTTGATTTTTTTTTTAACTTTTTTTTTTTTTAACGTTTATTTATTTTTGGGACAGAGAGAGACAGAGCATGAACGGGGGAGGGGCAGAGAGAGAGGGAGACACAGAATCGGAAACAGGCTCCAGGCTCTGAGCCATCAGCCCAGAGCCCGACGCGGGGCTCGAACTCACGGACCGTGAGATCGTGACCTGGCTGAAGTCGGACGCTTAACCGACTGCGCCACCCAGGCGCCCCTGTCTCTCTCTTATATTACAGATTCTTTAACTGGGACCATTAATCCGTATTATACCGATAAGAACCCCAGCAGATTGGGCAGGCACCTGGCTGGTTCAGTCAGAAGAGCATGTGACTCTTGATCTCGGGGTCATGAGTTCGAGCCCCACATTGGGGGTCGGGATTACTTAAATAAATACTAAAAAAAAAAAAAAAAAAAAAACAAAAAAAACAATAACCAAAACACAAAAAATACACACAGAGCCCGGATCCATGGGTTTACGTACCTCCTCGTTGACCATTGGCTCCTAGTGGTGTCCAGTCTGTGGCAAAGGAAAGAGAAAAGGGATAAATGACTCTAGCTCTACACCCCATAAAGCTTTTATAAGATGAACCAGAAAATGACGGGAAAATCGTTTACTTGATTTTTCTGCATTGGATTTCTGTGTAGTGCCATACAAAATCAAGGGTGCCGGGCCGGCTCAGTCAGTAGAGCATGCGACCCTTGATCTCAAGGTCGTGAGTTTAAGCCCCACGTTAGGCGTGGAGCCTATTTAACACAAAAATGAAAAATTTCAAAATTCCTCAGACCGTTAGTGCTGGCAGGGAAACACTCAAAGAAAAACAAGTTCCTGGGAACAAAGCCCTGCTTTGCCAAGCCCTGGCTTGGGGGTGCCTTCTTGCCCTCAATCCCCCACAGGAGTGGGGTCCTATTGGGCAGACGGGGCCAGCAGCCTTTCTAATGTGCCCTGTTCTATCACAACCTCCATGGTACGAGCTACATTACTGAACAACCTCAAAAGTGATTTTCTCACAGTCTGTATCTGGCAGAATGAGAAAATAAAATAGAGTAGGATTTCGTCAACGTCCGAGGGTTCGCTTTCCGTGGCCCCTCTTCTAGCTCAGTGACTTTACTTGAGTGTGTGGTTAGGCACGTGTTTCTTTGTGTGCGTGTGGATATGTTTGTGTGTTGCAGGAGCCAGTGTTGGTTAAGTGGGAGTGTATATATTCCCACGGGTTCCCTTTATGGATTGAATTTGGTCCAGTTTCTTACTAGCTGTCTCTGTATGTTTGTGCACGCAATTGGGTGCCCATTTCTTTTTTCTTTGGTGTTTGTTTGTTTGCTTGTACGTTTATGTGTGCGACCCTCTTATGGTTAGTATGGGTCCGAGGTCATCTCTGATCTCCTCCTAGCCCTTTCTTCTCAGACATAAATCTGTTCCTCTCTTTCTTTTTAAAATTTTTTAAGCTTATTTTTTTATTTTTGAGAGAGAGAGAGAGAGAGAAAGCATGAGTGGGGGAGAGGCAGAGAGACAGGGAGAGAGAGAGAATCCCAAGCAGGTCCCACACTGTCAGCGCAGAGCCCGACATGGAGCCCGAACCCACGAACCACAAGATCATGACCCCGAGCCAAAGTCAGACGCTCAACCGACTGAGCCACTCGGGCACCCCTGTTCATTTCTCTAATGGCTATTCTAGAACTCAGTAGCCGGCGCTCCTGCTGTGGTTCCTCTTCAACTTCCCCTCCATCCTGCCCTCCAGCCTACACCTCCACACTCACATATAGCTGAGGAGCTGGCATTGTAGGGAGGAAAGAACAAAGGTAGGGACTCACCAGAGGGGATGATGAACGCAGTGAGACACAGAAGCACCTTGGGTCCCAAGAGCAGCATATCTGACGGGGGTGTTGGGAGAGTAGAGGTTGTAATGCTCAGGGACACAACAGCATTTTGACTTCAGGCAGGGGTACCTGCAGGGCCCCTCTCCTTGTCTTCCCAGGGTTTTTCCTGGTCCCCCATGTGACTCAAGCCCTTTCTCTCTTTTCGTTCACCCAGCAGTCTTTTCCCAATTCTATTCTGTGATCACTTACCATTATTCTAACTCGCATTGCTTTTTTCTGCCCAGTCAGAGGAAACTTTGTGTTCTAAATGGTCTGTGCTTGCCCCTACTCTTGGCCTCCTTCATCCCCCAGTGTCTAATTTTCCCTCTTGATATCTGTGGCTATTTTAATATCATCTGCTTAACTTGGTGTCTCCTGTTGAATTCCACGGATAATCGGGATATCCGCTCAATTCTAAGGCAGTGGCATTTCCCATTGCCCCCCCTCCGGCCTTTCAATTTCAACTTCACCCACGCACAAACACACACGCGCGCGCACACACTCCCTCTGTCTGTTTAGGGTAATGTACAATCAAACAACTCACTGTGTACTTTTTCTCTGCTCTTTCCACCGAGTCCTTTGGCTGCTGAACGTGTCTCTCCTTCTCTCGCTGTTTCTACTTTGGCTGGAGAATAAGATGAACAGGGCCACTCCCTGGGAAGGACTTCAAATTTGGCCTACTCTGAAACAAGGAGATGAGGGAAAGTGAGGGAGAGAGAGAGAGAGAGAGAGACACAGAGAGGGAGAAAGCCAGGCTAGAGGAGTGTGATGGGGCTGGACTGAGAAGGGGCTGGGATTCGCAGTCACTCACACCCTCATTCCAAATGTTATGACCACACCAGGGAGTGATATGCCGTTCCCTAGGAGGCCTGGCTCCCGCTCATGTGCCTTTCTTCCATGAGTTTCTTTTCCCTCTTGCAACCTGGCCCCAGGCCCCAGCCTCCACCCACCTCCTTTTCCTTGGGCTCCTTACCTAAGTAGCTCCGTCTCATCGTTGCACAGTCTGCCCCTTCTCTGGCCATCTTCTGTGTTTGAATCATTCTGCCATCCTTCCCTCTCACGTTCTTTATTGACATTTACCTCATCAACGCCACCAAATTCCTTTATATCCCTGTGTTTCTCTTGTTTCTTTGCCTCTTTCTTGACACATGCATTCCAGAATGTGGTTCTGCCCCTCCCTTCCCATCCTATTTATTCCATTTTCAAACAAACACAGACACTACATAAGCTTTGCCCAGGAGGAGGGTTGGCTGCTTTAGGCTTAGGAAAAGTTGAAAAATACACTACTCTCTGAATCCTTTTGAAATGTAAGGGAGTTCTGTGAGAGGACACGCCAACCTTCTTCTGTCTTTTGCCTTTGTTTAAGCTTATGCTCAGCATCTTGGTTTCTGGAATCTTAAGGACAACATGCTATCCGAAGCCCCAAGGAAATTGGGAGCCAGTTTCATTCTGCTGGCCTTATTCTCCAACCATACTTTTCCCCACATCGTGTAACATATAGATAACTTTCTCAGATCCAGGAGCTTTTAAGACTTTGTATTTGCTCTTATTCATAGAAACCTAGAGGTTTCGACTGGTTAAAAAAAAAAAAAAAAGATATATCTCCACTTTGGAGGGAACAAACTTGAATTACAGAAACTCAAATCTGAGGGATCATTGACCTCGTACGCATTTAAGTGTCTAAGTTTCAAGTTAATCTGTTGGCTCGTCAGGAGATAAACAATGTAGACCAAAGGAGCTAAATTAGAGGAGAGCACAGGTAGACAGAGAGTGTTAATAGAATACAGACTAGAAAAAGAAAAAATAAGGGAGGGGGAAAGGAGCGGAGGAGGGAAGAGGGGAGGAAGGAGACTAGTTATTTGGGAGGGAGAGCATTGGATTTAAGCAGAACTAAGGAAATAGCACCTTCAGCTCCTCCAAAGGGGCTCTACGTGTTCCATCTCTGAGACGCATGGGTTCTGGTCACCGTTTAGAACAAATCTGAGCATAAAACCCTGCTCTTCCTGACCTGCCTTACTGAGAACTTGCCCTCCGCCCATGTGCTGTGCAGTGAGCGTGCCGGGGCTGGAAAACAGATGTGATTCCGGTCTGGTGAGAGTCGGCAAAGCAAAGGCGGGGAGGTGGGGGTGGGGATCGAAGCACCAAAAAAGCCGAGGCAAAGCAGAGCTGAGGCAGGACATACAATAGAGAGCTTAGAGCAACAATCATGTTTTCCATGAAGCTCAGACAGATGGACAAACTGAACCCAGCCCAGTCATTTGGCAGGGGGAGCAATGACCTCAATGTGCTGGCCCAGCTCGAGACCATAGCCGAGAAGAGCCTCCCCAGGCAGTGGGAGGGGGTGCTCTCCTGGGGTCGTAGGAGGGAGCCTGAAGTTAGGGCAGCGACAGTGCAACAGAATGTCCGGAGTAAGGCAGAGGGAGAAGGCAGGCAGGGAGCAGCAGCTTAGAAGGAAAGGAGAGGAAGCACGGGCTCACTGGTGTAAGAGCCACCGTTTCTTCGTGCCGGGCTTCCTAGGCTTCCAGGAACGCAGTTTGTCTTGAAGCGGTCTGATTAATTTTCTCTTCCTTGCAGTTATGGTGGCCCTTTCCTTCCAGCATTGTTCCCCATTTGTGGTCAGAGCCCAGGTAGGGAGAGAACCTCAGATTTGCTTTTCCCGAGGTGATTTGGTCAGCTTCCGTTGGATTACACTATCGGTTTATCGTCAAGTTGCATGTTTCCGCAAGTAGTAACACCAACGGGTCAGAAATGAACGACTGCCCACCAGAGCCGTGAGCCTCTGGTTTTCTGAGGTTCCCACTGACCCCGGGGGAAGAACTCCCTGGGCAGCAGTCCACGATCCCATCCAATGCTAGCGGATCGCCTGTGGCTGGAGCGAACAGGAAAGTCCTCTATGGAATAGCCTGGCAGGTGCAGAGGCCACTTAATACAGGCAAGCTCATGTTTGAGTCACATAGGAACATTTTCATTTTCGAAAAGGGTCTCCAGTCAATGGCAGATGGGGGAAGTACAAAGGAAGAGAAGGGAGGCAGGCCAGCGAGACGGCGCACCGGCTCTATTCATCTGTTTATTGGCCTGTAAAGAATACACCCATTAGCCGAAGGCCTCTGGGCAAATGTACAGAAAAGTTATTACTACAGTCCAATCCAGCTAAATTAAATCCAGGGCCTAAACGCAAAAAAAAAAAAAAAAAAAAAGCCAAAACGAAATCCCATAAAAGGAAAGCGAGAAGGGAGGAGGGTTATACGAGGTGGGGAGGGAGGAAAGGCAGAGAGCAATGTGTGTGGAGGAATGAAGCAATAAACTAGTAACAGCCCAACTTAAACGATGGACTCAGTGCAGGAGTTAGAAGCTAGGAAATGTGCATCCTCAGACAACTTCCCACTCATTAATAACCCATACTTGCTGTAACACCTCATGCCTCTGCGCTTTGCACCTTCTGTTCCTTCCATTATGAAATATCCTTTCCCAACCCCAGTCAGTAAATGCTCGTGTGTACATCAAAGCCCAGGTTAGACTCTGCCTCTTCCCAGAAACCTTTTCTGGTCTCCTCTTCTTCTGAAGAATTTTTTTTTTTTTTTTTAAAGTAAGCTATGCATCCAAACGTGGGGCTTGAACTCATGACCAAGAGATTAAGAGCTGCATGCTCTACAGACCGAGCCAGCCAGGCACCCCCTGCCTCTCAAGAGCTTTTCATTCTCTCTACTGAGCTGCCTTTGTATTTATTTCCAGTTCCTTGATTGCAGAGGTGAGGTCTTACTCATCCCTGGCAGGTAGAATGATTAGCATGTAAGAAGCAAACTTTGGGGACACCTGGGTGGCTCAGTTCGTTAACCAGACTCTTGATTTTGGCTCAGGTCACGATTTCCCGTGTCGTGGGAGCCAGCTCCATGTTGGGCTCTGTGCTGACAGCTCACAGCCTGCTTGGGGTTCTCTCTCTCTCTCTCTCCCCCTTTCTCTCTGCCCCTCCCCCTCAATCACTGAGCTCTCTCTTTCAAAATAAATAAATAGGGGCGCCTGGGTGGCGCAGTCGGTTAAGTGTCCGACTTCAGCCAGGTCACGATCTCGCGGTCCGGGAGTTCGAGCCCCGCGTCGGGCTCTGGGCTGATGGCTCAGAGCCTGGAGCCTGCTTCCGATTTTGTGTCTCCCTCTCTCTCTGCCCCTCCCCCGTTCATGCTCTGTCTCTCTCTGTCCCAAAAATAAATAAACGTTGAAAAAAAATTGTTTTAAATAAATAAATAACGTTATTTTAAAAAGTCAAAATTTGGGGCGACTGGGTGGCTCAGTCGGTTGAGTGTCCGACTTCGGCTCAGGTCATGATCTCACAGCTCGTGAGTTCAAGCCCCGCATCGGGCTCTGTGCTGACAGCTCAGAGCCTGGAGCGTGTTTCAGATTCTGTGTCTTCCTCTCTCTCTGACCCTCCACCATTCATGCTCTGTCTCTCTCTGTCTCATAAATAAATGTTAAAAAATTTTTTTTAAATATATTTAAACAAAATCAAAATTTGGTCATTTGAATTGGATTGAGATGAAGACTTAAAATAGTAAAATTGCTATTTCTAGGTAAAACATTTCAAAAAATGAGTCAAATGCCAATATGTAGAGAGGATAGAATTCTAGAGAAGTAACTAGTTAGAGAATTCACAAGGAGTATAGCAAGTGGAACAAATAGCCAATGTATTGAAGTGATCAGAGGCAAATAGAGCAAACAGAAACAGGCCTATAAATTGGGCAACAGCTACTCTAGAAACAAAGGAATTTTGGCAGAAAGGCTGTAAAATCAGTGTATGGAAAACATGTCGTTTTCCTTCAGTGCCGTTAACTCATAATAAAACGTTTAACTTATATCTGCAATAGCGCGTCTGTCCCATCGCTCCGGTTGATGTAAATTTTCTGATGATACTGGTGGTCTTGCATTGTAGGCCACGCTGTCTTGACCATGCAAATGTGAAATGATGTAGAATGCTTGATCCAGGGTCAGGATTCTATTAAGGTTCCATCTTCCCATTCCACCCATCGGAAAACAAATAAAACAGGGGTGCCCGGGTGGCTCAGTCAGTTAAGCATCCGAGCCTTGTTTTTGGCTCAAGTCATGATCACGCAGTTTGTGTGAGCCCCATGTCGGGATCTGCTCTATGGAGCCTGCTTGGAATTCTCTCTCCCTCTCTCTCTCTGCCCCTTCCCTCTCCCCTCCTCAAAAAATAAGTAAACGTTAAAAAATAAAAAAAAGTCTGGACTATGCAAATATCGGAAGAAAACAGGAAAGTTCAACGTATGTAGTTATTAATAATTGCTAATATAATTATCAAGTTTGGTAGATTTATGATTCATATATATATATATATATTCTAGATAATATGTGCTAGGCAGCCTCGCCTGCAGGATGGCCTCCAGTGATGATTCCTCCCTTCTATTCTTTTCTCCCTTGAGCGTGGGTTGGATGTAAGGACCAGTAGCGAATAGAACGCAGCAAAGGCTCGGTAGTACCTTCCAGATGAGATCACAAAAACTCTGGCTTCTAACATTAGTGTTCCCTTTTGATCTCTGGCTTGCTTATTTGCTCTGAACAAAGCCAGCTGCCATGCTGTGAGCTACTCTATAGAAATGCTCTTGTGAAAGAAGGGATATCTCTAGCCAATAGTCAGCAGCCCCAGAACCGTAAGAGCCATATAAATGAACTTGGAAGTAGATCTTCCCTCAATTGGACCTTGAAGATTGCAGCTCCAGCCAACGCCTTGACTACAGCCTTGGGAGATTCTGAGCCAGAGGTACGCAACTAGGCTGCTCTTGTATTCCTAACCAACACCAGCTTTGGGAAAATAAATGTTTGCTGTTTTAAGCTGCTACATAGATCATTGATATGTCCTATACTATAATACATAACCATCTTATCTAATATATTAATATAATATTTAGATATTTCTCCCTGTATATAGTATATAATAATGTGTTATAATGTTGATACAATTGTGTGAAAGACTAAATTAGCCATTATTATGCATTCGCCATTTTTTAAATATTTTTTTAACGGTTTATTTTTTTTTTAATTTTTTTTAACGTTTATTTATTTTTGAGACAGGGAGAGACA